ATATTTTAATTATATTTTAATTATATTCTTATTATATAGTAAATATATTTAGCAAAATCAAAGGTTTCTGCAAAGTTCAAGAGTGTCAAGTGTGGAAATTTCCAGCACAAAATAGAAAAATTCATCGACATTCTTCGAAAAACAATATAATATACATGTTGTTTCGAACATATACCAGAAATCAGGCAGCAAAAGAAGTAACAGGAATGAGAAATATCCTTAAAAAAAAAAAAGAAAAAAACGAATTTCGCACTTATTTTTTCTAAATTTTTTAGCTGGTAAATATTGGTAAGAATCATTTCAAAATAATTACATTCGATTTTGCGTAAGTTTTAATAAAGTCTTGTACATTAAATACAATTTTTTCATAAAATTTAATATATCCTATTAGTCAAATCTCAAATTTTATATATCAATAAATAATCTTTGAAAGTAACTTTATTCTTTGACACATAAGTAAATCGTGAAAATATTAGGGTAATTCTGTTTCTTTATAAAGAATTAAATAAATTGGTTTTAATACGTATATAAAATGCTTCAAACTCGTGTAACATAAAAATCTGCAATATAATATACCTGATATAGTATTCTGATTAATTGGCCCATTTATCATCCTAATGGTTTACGAAAATTAACTTTATAAAAACGATTACTTAAAAATTGAAATTCTCTCTCTGCAAGATTACTGTATGATTGTTCTTATTATTTATAGAATAGGCTTACAAAGTCATCTTCATGGTGTACATTTCAAATTTAGGTAATTTATCATTGATTTTATCGTCACTCTTTCTTATCTGTATTTTTATGAAGATAAAGACAGTATTGTATTTACGTATCAGCATTATCAAAAGTAAATTTCCAAATCATTAGTTTGAAGATACACAGATAATAAAACTTTGCTCTATAAAAATTTAAAAGATCTTTATAGCGATAGCATTTCTGTTATTATATTTATTGCATAAAATGAAAGGTCTTTGTCATCACAGAAAATCACTGAAAACAAATACATTTGAAAAGCAAATAGCATAATTCCACGTATTTTCGTTAAAAGGAACTACAATAACAAGATAGTTATATCATAAGATTATGAAATGGTCAACCGTGCATTATTTTTAATACACTTGAGATAACACGTTATTTCATCTTTTTTTGCCTTCAATTTCAACGAATTCGACTCTGCAACAGCCAAATTCTCTTCTATAATCGGATTCTCCAGGTCTTTCTCCAAAGTGTATCTCCGACTCATATTCTTCAAAATATTTGTCATGAGCCTCTTGGATAAGTGGTGATTGGTATAGTTTCGTTGCTGTTATTTTCATAGCTGTTCGCGCAAGTTCTTCAGAAGCGAAACAACGTTGGTCGATTTGCTCCATTTCAAAATCATATTTGTATCTAGAAAAAAATGTTGTCAAGACCCAAACTGCATTTACTTCAGCTGGAAATCGAAAAAAATTATAAAATTTTCAGAATACTTGGTCTCGTAAAAGCACATACAAACACAAAACCATCTTAATAATTACCTTCGACTTTCGGGGCTTTTGAAGTTTTTGTCGTTTGCGAGGTTTTTATTGCTTTCGAAGTTTTTGTTGACATATTTTCAGACTAACAGTTACAGTTAAAAACTGAAAAAGAAGAGAAAGTGCCAGAAAATTTATCTATTTATATTGTTTTTTTCAAATATACCCCTGGAAAAAAAAAATGTAAACAAACTGATCGGAGAATGCCGGGTATATACGCAAGGTTAGGGCCACCGATTTTCTGCTGTGACAAACTACAGGGGCGACCGTCCTCGTTATACAAATTACGAAAATCTCCGATCAGGTGATAACCAATCAAAAGCGTGAATTT